GCTGTAGTCATGGTGTCCACATTAGTAAGCCTATACTATGGAACAACATTAATTTGGGCAATGTACTTTTTGGTCCATCCATTATCATCTGCCAGTACTTGTAACAACACCGGAGGTAAGACTGAACACTATCCAATATAAAGATCACATTGTGATACACAGGGAAGTATATTTTGAAATTCAAATACTAGTGGTCTACCTACTCCCATGGTTTTTAGCTCTTCTGAGCCAAAGGCTCAAAGAGCTAATGCTATGGCCATTTGTGCGGTGTGCGGTGTGCGTAAACTTTTTAGAATATGGGCCATAACTCAAGAACCCCTTGGCCAATTATTGTCAAATTTGTCACAGGGTATCCTTGGCCCAAGGGCTCCCTTTTATACTAAAACTGGGGTTGTGACCCTTTAACAAGGGGAGATAATTAGGAAAATAGAAACAAAAGTACTGGTTGCTAAAAAATCTTCTTCTCAAGAACCACTGGGCAGATTATCACCAAACTTACACAAAAGGATGAGGATATGTTGTAGATTAAAATTTGCACGGGGATTTACCCTGGGGCAAAGGGCGTGGTCTCAAGGTCACTTCAAAGTTGACCAAAAATTACATTTTATTAAAATGTTGATATTTTGCTTACTATAAGGACTAGGATCATCAAATCTTGTCAGTTGGTGCATCTAAGGACCTCATATCATGTTGACTCAAAAGTAGGTCACGGTGACCTACTTTTCAAATATTGCGGCCATTCTTTTTCATAATGATTTAGAGGCATATTTTGAACAATTTAAGGCCTATGATCATCAAACTTTGTCAGTTGATGCATCTTGGGTCGTCAAAGTACGTCACTTAAAAAGTAGGTCACCTTGACCTACTTTTTGAATTTTATGGCTAATCTTTTTTAAAACAATTAAGGTCATTAATTCGAATACGGGGAGGCTTAGAATCATTAAATCTTGTAAGATGATGCCTCTTGGGGCCATAAAACATATTTATTAAAAAGTAGGTCACAGTGACCTACTTTTTTGAACTTTGCAGGCATTCGATTTCAAAGCGTTTTAGAGGCATAATTTGGACATTTTAAGTCCTATGATCATAAAACTTTGTAAGTTGAAGCATCTTGGGTCCTCAAAAAAGGTCAACTGAAAAGTAGGTCACCGTGACCTACTTTTCAATTTATATGACTATAATTAAATATTTCAGGTACTTATTGGCTTAGAATCATCAAACTTTGTCAGTTGATGCATCTTGGGTCTTCGGAGTAGGTCGACTAAAAAGTAGGTCACAGTGACCTACTTTTGAAAATTTATGGCATTAATTAAATATTTCGGGTACTAATTGGCTTAGAATCATCAAACTTTGTCAGTTGATGCATCTTGGGTCTTCAGAGTAGATCGACTAAAAAGTAGGTCACCGTGACCTACTTTTGAAAATTTATGGCTTTAATTAAATATTTCGGGTACTAATTGGCTTAGAATCATCAAACTTTGTCAGTTGATGCGTCATGGGTCTTCGGAGTAGGTCAACTAAAAAGTAGGTCACCGTGACCTACTTTCTGAAAATTTATGGCTTTAATAAAATATTTCGGGTACTAATTGGCTTAGAATCATAAAAACTTTGTCAGTTTATGCGTCATGGGTCCTCGGAGTACAACAACTGAAAAGTAGGTCACGGTGACCTACTTTTGAAATTTTATGGCTGTATTTAATATTTTCAGGAATTATTTGGCTTAGAATCGTCAAAATTTGTCAGTTGATGCATCTTTGGTCCTCGGAGTAGGTTGACTGAAAAAGAGGTCACTGTGACCTACTTTTGAAAATTTATGGCTGTAATTAAATATTTTGGGTACTTATTGGCTAGAATCATCAAACTTTGTCAGTCGATGTATCTTTGGTCCTCGGAGTATAGCAACTGAAAAGTAGGTCACGGTGACCTACTTTTGAAAATTTATGGCTTTAATTAAATATTACAGGTACTAATTGGCTTAGAATCATCAAACTTTGTCAGTTGATGCATCTTGGGTCCTTGGAGTAAAACAATTGAAAAGTAGGTCACTTTGACCTACTTATAAAATTTTATGATTATAATTTTAAAAAATATTTTAGGTATTGATTGGCTTAGAATCATCAAACTTAGTTGATGGGTCCTCAGAGAATGACAAGTGATAAGTAGGTCACCATGACCAACTCTCAGGTACTGATTGGCTTAGAATCATCTTGGGTTCTCAGAGTGTGAATTGGAATTTCAAGGGTTTATGTAAATATACAGGATACTTCGAGGCTTCAAATAGAAGTGATAGGTTGTACAGTTTATCAGAAGAGCGATTCAAGGCCCATGGGCCTCTTGTTAATCTTGGGACTAATTTGTGTGAAGAAAAGTACGAAAGCCCAGAAGGCTCATTCGAGATTCGAGTTTCGAAATACGAGATTCAAAATTCAAGATTCGAAATTCGAGTTTCGAGATTCAAGATCCAAACTAACCAATCAAAAACTGGTTTAAGATTCAATTACTCCCCTTTGTTAAGTTTTGACCTTCAAGAAATCGTTGAATATATTCAAACCGAAGAGGTCATTTGATTATATTACAATGCAAGAAAGAGTGTTATATATATTAGAATGGAATTAGAAAAAATATTGGGTTTTTGGTCTCCAAAATATGCTTAAAGAGCTAGTTTCACTTTATGCATAAAATGGCCCTGTCCTTCTATCAATTAATTGACTATCACCATCTGTCCCATTACATATATCAAAATAAAGTAGAGACTTAGTGCTCTCATTTCCTATAACAAAATTTCTTTTTGAGAATCCAGGTATCGGAAAACAGGCTTTGCGAAGAAGCAGTGTTCTTCAATTTAGCAGAAAACATGCGTATTGACTACATTCAGCAAAGAACTAAAATATGAGCACAGCCCACGATCCAAAAATTAAAACATGTTTTGTGATCGTCAGAAACAGATCTTTATTATGTAATTGCATATTTTGGATCAAAGGTTGTGCTCTATATGAAATATTGAAATAACACCTCAACTTTCGGCCACTTTTAAAGAAATTTACAGGATATGGAAAAATGACACATTTTATGACGTCATAATGCACTGACTAGAGGGAAAATTACGTCATGTTCAATACATACACTGTCACTAAGGGCCCAAGTTATAAATACTGCATTTTCAACCAAAACTGAGCAGTTTCGATTTTTCAGAAATTCTCAGGGCCAAAAAAGGCCCTAAGTGGCTCTTGCTCTTTATATTGTAACTTCTTAAACATTATAATAGATTTATATCAAGAATATCTATATCGTATTATCTACTTTGTTTATAGGATTGATGTCATAATAATAAATATTGTTCATTGGATTCAAAGAGCAAAGGGAGGGGGGAGGGGGCATATTGTAGTCGATGAGAATTATAAGTGTGCAATTAAACAAGTGACTAGCGATTAATGATAAATAGTAATACGGGTTTCAAAGTGGATATAGTTTGTGACAAGGTATTAGAAAGTGACCAGTGACCAATACGAGTTTTGAAGTGCAGTGGCGTAGCTTGGGGTCCATCAATGTGGAAGCATAAAATGCCGGGGGGGGGGGGGGGGGGGGGGGGGCACAAAGCCCCTGTGGGACCAAGGCGAAGTCCTGGGGACTCTGGCGGTGAAGCCCCTGGAAGCTGGTGCATTTTAGACAAGTGACGATCGACTTTAAAAAGGTTAATAACATTTTAAACCATAAAATGTTAAATGTTAGTTTGTTTTTTCTAAATACTTTTTTAGCAGCAGTTCTCCCAGATGTCCTTATTATTAGCCTGTTATAGGCCTACATGCATTTTACATATATTCAATGTTATACATCTTACACTAAGTATGTATTATCCATTATAAAATGCTTTTGAAATTTCAATCATACATGCATGTTTTCATGAACTTGAGTCTTATGAATTATATATAGAAATGATATTCATAAATTTAATATAAATTAAAAAATTAAAATATTAAACAAATAAAGCAAACCTTTTCTACAGTTCAGTATTTTCTTCACAGAGTGTTTCAAATTTATTTTTGAAAAGCATTGTAACTTTTTATGAATTCATTTTCCCCCACCGAACAATGTGGAAGCACGTGCTTCCATGCTTCAATGGAAGCTACGCCACTGAAGTGGATATAGTTTGTGACAAGGTATTAGAAAGTGACCAGTGACCAAGTTTGTGAAACCAAGAGACAGCCCCTTAAGTACGGATGGCTGAAATATATATGCTTAATAAAGATAATGATTTCTCTTTGTTTTGGCCCGTAGGAAATAATAAAATAAAAAATCACTGTAAAGCCCCCCCCCCCCCCCAAAAAAAAAAACCGGGGTTATCACGTTATTAGACGTTATTTTTGAAAGGACACAAGCATAAAGTTGCTATGTTTTCTATAGTAAATTATATCGGTAAGAAATATAAGGGGAATATGGGTGGGGGGAGGGAGAGAATGGCTATGTTGTTTATTTTATTACAACGGTAGACAAAGTCAGTGTCAATCTTGCGATGCATGGGCAAAATAATTATATATTCGATAATTATTTATAAGGAAACCGCTCGGGTCTCACAAGATACATAACCAATCAATACACAAGTTTCAATACATGATGTAATGGCCATAGAGAAAAAAAAAGATATAAAAGTACAGGTAAACTTCGGTATCTCGACATCGGATATGTCGACAACCTGGGATATGTCGACATCCTTCCGCGGTCCCGGCAGTATTTACTATATAAATGATTTGCAAAAACTCTGATATGTCGACTTCGGTAATGTCGACAACCCGGGTTATCTCGACGTATAATCACAGTCCCAAGAGCAAAATTTACCTGGCATATGTCGACATCGGCAATTTTCTGCTCTACTGAACCTAACTGTTTGTCAGATAGGGTCGCTCGTCACGCACGGACGACTCCAGGTATCTCGACGTCGTCAAAGTTTCACACCTTTCACACCCATGTTTTGACTGCACGCTGCTTAATTAATTTTATAGACTGTGTTTGTAGGTGAATCCCAAGCCCCTTCGGCGTCTTTGAGAAGTTAATTGAGCTTGGGTAATATCATTGCTAAATCTACACGATTCTGCGTAAATGTACAGAATGTTATTTATA